AGCAATTTAAAAAAGATTCAAAAGGAGGGTTTGGAAGATGTTTAGTGGGCCATGAGATTAGTCATAATATATGTAAGCTGGTCCGGACATCCACATAAAAAAAAATTCAAGATGTCATTAAGCTGAAGTTTTTTAGAAATCCTAAATGTAAAATAATGTTTTATGCTTTAAAAGAGTTCTTCAAAGCTAATTTTAAAGATATCAAAGCTACAGTTTATTATTAATGGCCAACAATTAAGTGTTCAAAGTTGGTGCTTGAAGAGTTTCAAGATGATTTTGGTGTGGTCACTAATTATATTATATACAGTAAGGATAATTTCCATCCCAGTTGCTATTAAGGACAAATGTCATGTTGGATTCTGAATTCAATACTCATTAAGGATATTTTGGTCTGCCGCATGCGTGGGTGAACAAGAAAAACTTCGCTGGCCAGCGAGGAACACATTGCCTTTAGTACAACATAGGGTTTGAAGCATCCATGTAAACATGTTATTGGTAGGTGCTTGTTTTCAATGAAAAGGTTAAGCACGTAAATGGTAGATAACCTTTGACTAAACATTGATGATATTCGTGCGTGTAAGCTAGTTTGAATATCTAAGTTAATCTAAAAAAATTTAAATTTGAAAATAAATTAACTCCAATCTAGAAAAGCTAATGTAGGACTGTAGAAATAAAAAAAATTCTAACAATCAAATTTCCCAATAGATTATTTTTATATAAAAAATAAAACAAAATAAAAATAAATAACATGAAAAATAAATGAATAATTGATACATGTATAAGACATTTAAGGTAATAAAAATTAACAATAAAATAATACAATATGACTTTGGAAAATTCATAAATTGAATCTTTATCCACTAAAACGAAAAATATTTTTTTATTTTTAATTTGATAATTATTTTGTATATTATAAGTGTAAATGGCATTCCATTCAGCTATCCAATAATTCAATTTTGAATTTTTATCTAACAATCTGAATCTGCAAGAATATACAAAGGAAAAAAAAATCAGTAACATATCCAATAATTCCATTAAAAACAACACTGTTCATCAAACAAGTTAAGCTTATTTAGTATTGTGTTTTAAAAGTATTTTTTTTAAAAAATAATTTTTTATTTTAAATTAATATTTTTAAATTATTTTAATATACTTATTTTCAAAATTATGATATTTTAAAAAACAATTATAATTACAATACTAAATTAATATTAAATTCAGAGAAATGCACAATTACCATTCGCAATGAATTTGAATGGTTAAAAACGATTTTTTTTTATTAGTCTTTTCAGCTCCATCAAAATTACTTTTTTGCACAAGAAGCCATCCTCGTCTATAGGGCCTTGGCCCATGATAGCAGAGCAGGCTGCCATATTATTTGGAACCAAATGTTGACAAGTCTTTATTTAAAGAATTCACATCATCTAAAGCGCACGAAAAGCCACAACACAGCTTAGACTTCCTATTCCTATCAATGATAAATTTGACTAGCAGCATGACGCTGGCATCTACAGAATCTCCTCCTGACTTCACAGTTCAATTCTAATAAATGTTGTAAATTAAAACAAGAAGAAGCTGTAGTTCGAAAATAACATTATATAGGAGAAAGAATATCCTCCTTTATTCCAACATCTCATATCAAGTTGATGCCATTCTTTGCGTCCAGAAACTAAAAGGCTCAATGGCCCAGAAACAAACAAGAAGGGAAATTCAAAGATCCTTGAGGATATCATCCGCACTGGACACAGTGAATTCTCCACCACCTTCAATATTTGCAGCTTTCACCTTAAGGTCATCAACCAAGAGAGCAAACCTCCTAGAACGTGTGCCAAGCCCTTTCTCTTGCAGGTCAAGCTCAAGGCCGAGAGCATGGGTGTAAGTTGCAGACCCATCAGCTAAGAATTTGACATGCTTATTCTCAGGGTAAGTTTTGGCCCATGCCTTCATCACAAAGGGGTCGTTGACTGCAAATGAATAAGAATCCAAAACTCAAAAAACACGGAAACCAATCACATTCTTTTAGTTTTCTAAACCTGTAATTAGTCTGAATTCCATTAGAATATAACAGATCCAGCTGATAAGTTTCATACATATTATTTACGCCAACCAAAACAAGAGATGCAGACTTAAGAACAATGCCAGTTGAAGTAAGGCCGCACACATTTTAGTTTTTTCCTCCAACACCAATACCAGTAGCATATTAGGTGTTCCGGACAGATTACCAAGTTAGAAAAAACAAAACCAGCATTTCGAGCAGCTTTGCTCTTCCTTCCAATTTCAATTAGAACAACTGGTCAACTTAGTTACTAAAACTTAACCCAGATTACATTAATTCGCATTAAATGGTGAAACCCTAGTTGCTGTACAGATTTTTAATCAAAATGAATCAACAATAAGAAAATCAAATTAATTTAAAAAATAGATCCCCAAATGGAAATGACAACGTACCGCTGATGCACAAAATTTCAGTAACGCCCTTTGATTTTAACTCCTCTGCTTTCTCGATAAACCCCGGCACATGCTTCAAGCTACAAATCACCAAACAACAAAATCAATCATATATATACTTGAATCGGAAACTTAAAAATAATTACTCTGTTTACCTGCAGGTGGGTGTGAAGGCACCGGGAACACCAAAGAGGATGACCTTTTTACCGGCAGCTAGAGAGTGTACGGACACTTCCTGGAGCTGATCTTGCTCGTCGAAGTAAGCGAGCTTTCCATCAGGCAAGACATCACCAACAGCAATCGGGGCCATATCGAATCGACGGTGTTGTTTTCGTTGCAGTTACCGTGTGATCGAGTGAGGGTTTAGAAGCGGAAAGTTCGTAGATATTTTTGGCTGTATATTTATAGTGTTTAAATTTACATTTAAGGGAATTGAGAAAATTTTTGGGGTCCGGTGTTAAACGAGTGGCACGTGGGTGGGGGGCCGCTCTTGTAATTATCTTGGCATGGCCGTGCTTGCCAAGTGGGCGACTATCTTGGTCTATGCGAACAGAGTTACGAGATTGCCCTTCCTTCTTGTTTGACCTGTCATTCCAGTCTAGTCTCTCCCTCCATCGATTCTCTTTTCTTGCTCGATCGGACACATGGAGCGGAGGCTTTACTCTGGCCAGGGGTGAGGATTATCTCGGGCAAAGTCAACTTTACAATACGACGAAACCCGGCGGTCATTACGGATGTTTGAAAGTCAGTCGTTCGTTATTATAATATAATTACATTAACATAAAATATTTCAAGGAAAAATTAATTAATAAAAAATATTTTATAATTAATTTTTAATTTAAAAAATAAGTTTGTTAGAAATCTTAGGAATAATAATTCACTTATAATACTATTTAACTATTTTAATTATCACCATCATTATTTTATTTTATTTTTATTTTTATTTTATTTATTTTATTATTGTTATTATCATCTTACCATCACTTTTCTTTTCACTATTTTAAATAATTTTTACCTCAAAATATTTATATAAAAAAAATATTTATTTAAATTACATGATGAAAATTCTTCAGTTATAATTTTTTTTGGATTTAAAAAAACTATGTTTTTTCAAAAAGTATATTTTATGGGTTAAGATAAATAAGTAAAACCCTAGTTGTTTTAAGCTCTTATAAAAAATGTATATTTTGACTGAAGTATCAAGAAGTTAGCATAATTTGGGAGGTTTCATTCATTCAATTAGAAATTTAATTAAATAAATTTATGACTTTATAGCTGATTTTAACTTTAATTAAAATATTTTATGGGCCTAGGGGACATATTGGAAAATCATAGAAGTGTAAGGGTTTATTTAATTTCAGTCAAGGACTCAAATGAAAGATTTTATTAATTTGGCTTCGATATTGCACCCTTTGGATAATTAAAACTTCAGGTCAGGAAGATTAAAAATGAAAAAGCGCCGACAGTCAAGGCCCAACTTGAACTTTGTCAGTGCCAAACGATGTCGTTTGAAGCTTTGATATAGACACCCTCAACCTGTGTCTTCTTCTTCTTCAGGGACCAAAACCAGAAACTCCAGCTACCAGCCCCAAGGAAAGATGTGATAAAAGGTGGAAACTAAAAGGATTCTCGAACAATAGCTGAAAATGAAAGAGAGGATTATAAAAGTAAGGTTGAGCATTGGGAAAAGATCGAACTGCGTGCCCATACAGAATTGACAGACAAAGTAGAAGAGTTGGAATGACAGAAGACCTAACTTATAATTAACATCAAAGCTAAGTTAGAAAAGCTTAAGAAATAGATAGTTGGGCTGTGCCTTCGGATCAAAGAACTTTAGATTGAGTTGTTTGCTAGAGAAATTGAGATTGAATGGCAAAGTTCTAGAGTAACTGAAGCAGAAAACGAACTTGAAAGATCCAAAAGAAGAAATGATGGAGGTCCAAGATCTATACCGGAAGAAGGTGGATAGCTTGAGTATAAACAACGATGCCTTGCTCCGTTCCAATCTTACTATCACCACTACCTTGAAAGCTCGCACTATATAACTCATGAGTTTCCTCTTTAAACTTTTCTCTTGATTATTTACCACTTCTAATCAGTTATCCATGCATAAAATACTATTTATCTCCGAGAAGAGCAAACTCAATAAATTTGGCTTCACGAGAATGGGCAAAAAAATGAGTATATTATTTTTTCTTTCATTTTTCTCATTTTTGACAAATTCATATTATAACATAAACTGTAACTATTACACGATTGACAGGTTAGCCAATAACTCATTAACTTGAAGACTAGTTTAAATTGAGTTTTATTTTAAATTAATATGATCAAACTTTATCTCGGTTGAACTCTGAAAGTATTTTTTTATTATTTTAAAAATATATCATTTTATTGTAATAAATAAAACACCAGCATTTTAGGGTAGACTTAACAAACCTATAACTAAAAATGAGTTTCATTTCAAAATAATTTGAAGATTGATTCAATTAAATATGTTGATGTAGCCGGATTTAGGTTAGATCAAGCCAGGTTAGTTTCAATAATTTATTTTAATTTTTTTAAAATAATGTTATATCATTAAAAGGAAGTTGAAAAATCATTGTTAAGTTCTTGATTCGAGTTTCATTAATAAATCTATGTTTCTATATTGTTTTTTATTTATTTTAAATGTTCTAATTCAATTTGAAATGAGTTTCTGGTTGAGTATTATATATTTGTTTACTTCCCACGTTATGATGTAGATTGATGTATATATTTTTTAAACGTAAAAAAAGAAGATCCAAGTTGTGGGGAGCTCTCTGATATTGTTAGTGAATTAATCTAATAATTTGAAGATTGATTCAATTAAATATGTTGATGTAGCCAAACTTAGGTTAGACCAAGCAAGGTTAATTTCAATAATTTATTTTATTTTTTTTAAAATAATGTTATATCATTAAAAGAAAGTTGAAAAAATATTGTTAAGTTCTTGATTCGAGTTTCCTACTAAATTTATATTTCATGTATTGTTTTTTATTTTATTTTAAATGTTCTAATTCAATTGAAATGAGTTTCTGGTTGAGTATTATATATTTGTTTACTTTCCATGTTATGATGTAGATTGAGCTATATATTATTTAAACGTAAGAAAAGAAGATCCAAGTTGTGGGGAACTTTCTGGTATTGTTACTGAACTAATTTAGACGCCGGGTCATAGCTTATCTTATTTTTTCATCAACCCGACCTGGTTCCAGCCCCGGGTCGGCCAGGTCCTGGGTCAACCCGCCGGGCCGGGCCGGATTTTAAAACTATGATACAGAGGTCTAAAGAAAAAAAATCAAACGAAAAGATAACAAAAATAAATAAATAAAAAAAAAACAGACCGTGCGGGTTCAAAAGCAACAAAAACTAGCTTCGTTTTGAATTCAACATTGTAGAAAGACGGGAGATCGTGTTGAAGTCAAAACAATGTTCATTTAACTAGATGTTGAAGTAATGGCAGCAACTCATTGGCGATGTATTTTAAGACCACTTCGAACTAATTCCCAATGCTTGGTCAGACGTTTGTGTCGTTCACTTGTTCTATGGTTCTTGGAACTATCCACAATTATTAATGACCATGAACAGATAGTGCGTCTTGAACGGGCTGGTCAATGCCAGCGACATTTTCAGTTTTTTTTTAACCATTATTTAATTTATAAATGGTTTTATTATCCATCAACTACAAATAAAAATTACTAATAAAAATTTTACTGATAAAATATTTCTGTTCATAAATTTCTTGGTAAAAATAATGTTAATGGATTGAGAATATAAATATCAATAAAAAGTTTTAACAATAAATCTAATTTTTTTGATAATGAGTTATATAAATCATATATGCGCATGATAACAATGCAAAAACCAAATTTTTTATGCGCATGATAACAATGCAAAAACCAAAAAAAATTTTCAATCAAATAAATTAATGTTCCACCATTATGCAAAATAAATTAATGTTTTCGGAAAAAAAATAAAAAATGAAGAAAAAAGATTGGTAGCTTGAAAATGTTTGCCATTAAAAAGACAAATGAAATAAAATAAAATAGAGGTAACACGTAAAATCATCATGAATGATATATTAGTTTTTTAGCAAATAAAGCAATACCTCCAGGAGAACCATTAATCTAGTGCTTCCCAGAATAAAGATAGGAATAAAAATTAAATTAAAAAAAAAAAGAATTAATCCTTATATGTAGTAGGAATTAGGGTACGCTAACAACAACTACAGTTGCGAGAGCTTGCTCATTTTGGGAAGTGAAGAAAAAAGGCACAAAGAACAAGAACAGAATTAAGCTGATCAGAATATAAATGGAAAATACAAGAGCACAAAACACAAACAACTCGCTAGTAATGTACGAAAAGCCTTCTTTGCTTTGGCTCAAGGCATTTTCTGGGGGTATCTGGTAAGCAAGATATCCTTTTGTTTTCCATGATTAGCAGCCAGATTGGAACCCTGTCTTTCAGCTAATATTACAATCTCTATTGCCTTTTTTGTTTAAATTTTAATTTTAATCTCTGTATCTCTTCTCGGTATCCCCTTTGCTGTTTATTGTTTTCTTTATATTTATCTGTATCTAAACTCTTTCATGGTTTATATATTTCTACGTTTTGAAAGTGTTTTTAGAAAAAAATATTTTATTTATTTATTTTAAATTAATATATTTTTAGTATTTTTAAATTATTTTAATGTATTGATGATAAAAGTAATTTTTTAAAAATAAAAACATATCATTAAATGATAAAAGTAATTTTTTAAAAATAAAAATATATCATTAATATATATTTTGATACAAAATATTATTTAAAAAATAATCACAACTACACTACTAAATAATTTATTTATTTTAATACTTGCATGTTACATGTTACAATATGTATCATCAAATATTATAAAAGAGTCACTTTGTGCATAAAAATAAAAAATAAAAAAAGGGACAAGGATCCAAAACAATAGGAATAATTTTTTTATGGTCACGAGAGGGAATTATCTACAAACAATTCCCAATTGTCAAAAGAAATGCCGGCCAGTAGAGAGGCCAACCAAAAACGCAAAAGAATAGGGCAGCAACGACAATGATGAAGCGAATCGGGCGACGGACAGCCCTCCAGTGGTCTAAACTGAATTGAATTTAAATAAAAAGATGGCCCCATTTGGTCAAGAAAGAAACAAAAAAGAGAGAGAAGAGAAGCAAGCAGCGCATGGCAGAGAAGGAAGCAGCGCATGGCAGAGTAGACCAAGATAATTAAAAATTTAACAGCCACCTAACCAAAAACAAAAAGAAGCAAAAACAGATTATAACCTACTAGTCACATGTGTTCTTTAGAAAAGCATGTGATCTGAGTTTGACGTG